GCTGAAATTGTTGCTGTCGTTGTGGTCTCAGATAATTCTACCCTTTTCTGAGAAACAGCAGAATGAAAGGCGTACCAGCATTGCAGCCCCTGTGACTCACAGCTTGTCAGATTAGAAGGGGCAGACATGGTTTTCTGTTTACATTGATATGTCAGGCTGTAAACTGCTGCAGTGGCTGTGGACTTTGAGTTATTATCCTGTCCTTGTAAATTGAGCTAGAGGTAAGCCACATGTATTATTTTGCCAAAATTAAAAAATAAATGAAATTAACGAAACTAATGGACCCTCCCCCAGCAACAACAAAAACCCTTAGCTTTACCACATTATATATCTCCAATTACCTTGTTTGCATGAATGCATCGATACAAGAAAGTTTTTCAGGAGCAGTTTTTTTCCAGATGATTGGGATTTTTCACAGTACTTAAAAATGTACTACAGAGATAGGTCCTGCTTCTGCTAAGTTGTTTGTATTGGCCTGTTGCTAACGTGGCACAAACCAGTAATATTTGATCTGGCATGAAGATGTCTACTATGAAGTTATTATCCTTAAATTAGTTGAAAAAGCCAGAACTGTCACAAAGTTATATAGGCCATGTATGTCATATGGTGACATGTTATGTAGGGTGACATACACATATATGTGTATATATATATATATATGGTGACAAAGATGTATAGGCCGCTGTGCTTTTTATGTGATGACAGCAATTTGTGGATCCATTCCAGGGACCCAGGGATAGATACGGTATTTCAGCAAAGCCCAGACTGAACTTCAAGGTTTAGGTGGTATGAACAAAGATCAAGCAAGAACCTGGCCCAAACTGCTGTCCTAATGCAAAGCTGCTTCCCATGTGTCTGTTGTGTCTCTGTCTTCCCAGTCAAGCCACAAGCGCCACCATCACAGCTTTGATGCAGAGCGAGATGCCAAGAAAATATACAGTGCCTGCAAAGGAGCAGGTAAGAAAGACCTTGTAGATTTTTGGATTGTGTGCAAAGGGCAGATCAATATTATAAAGAGCATATACATGAACTTAGCCAAACCAATTGTTCCAACCAGTTTTAGGTAATCTTTATGCTTTCTGTCATATACTGACTCAAAGAACGTTCACACCCATGAAAATAAATGGGAAGGGAAGCCAGCTTGTTCCTCAAAGACTGGCAAGATCTAGCTTGATAGTTGCATGTCTCCAGAGAGGATTATGGTAAATATGGTATTTGTTCCCTGTGATAGGAATATCAAGCTGCCAAGACTAATTTGACAGTCACAGGGCCCAGCTAGTCAGGTCAGATTAAGGTCATGGTTATATATTATATATTCTTTCTCAGGCCTCCAGGGACCAGTAAAGAGCATCATCACCTCCATATTTCATCAGAGCCCACTGCAGCTCCATCAGCTGAAAGGAATTTACAGTGATTTCAAGCTTCATCAGTGATTTTTAACTGAAAATAACTGTCCCTCACAATCTTCTGATGTAGTTTGAAGTAAGCTGCCTGACTGCATTGATGTGAGTGAGGAATGCATAGTGTTTTATGGGATCCTAAGGTCCATGGAAGTGACAATGTTCAGTAAAGGAAGAACATCCAGGCAGCACACAAGATCAATAAGTTATTAATTCACCCCAGGTATTTGCACAGTTAATATGTATTTAAGCATTTCTTCCTGGTATAGCAGTGACACTCGGAGTGTAATTCCTTCTAAAATTGGACCATGCCTTCTGCCTTGGATCTAAGCAGGAAGAACTGGACAAGATGCCCTAAAGTTTTCCTACGTGTGCCTGGTGGTGATATGAGGGGTGAAAATATATTAGCTGTTGCTGAATACCAATATAATTTGTATCTTTATCCTTTGTGCTGGCTGCTGCTCAGAAACCCTTGTTGGTTTCTCCTCCTAAAAGCCTGAGATGAGGCACAGCACAAAGCCCAGAGGTGGAAGAGCACAAGGAGAGCGTGGGGCAGTGATCACCAGCAGGATGTGTGGGCGTCAGCAGAGCTGGCATGTGTCCTGATGCCCTTGGTCTGCCATCCTAACCCTTGGTATGCTGTGGGCATTTGGGCAGTGCCCATCACAGGCTGGATCTGTCCTGGCTCACATTCTCAATTTCAATACTTGTCACGAAGAGATAATGCCTGAGTCAGTCTGCTGGCCCTTGGAAGTGCACCAGGACACCTGTGTTAATGCAACAGCTGCCCTATTGTGTCCTTCCTACATCCAGGTAACATCACTGTGGTCCTGTCTCCTTTTAGCTGCAACAAATACCTTCCAGCAGCTCTGTTTAGTGCAAACATCTGTTTATGTGCAAACATCTGTGTATGTAGCAGCAGGCAACAAAAGTGCAAGAGCAAGCTCACTGCCTTTGGGAAGCTTCTACAATCCATTGCATAAATTAGAGCTCAAAGCTGACTGAGGGTTTCTCCCCTGGAGGGGGCTGTGTTCAGCTCCCCTCTGTGATGGGCAGCACAGCAACTGCATTTCCCTGGACATCCCATGCTCCTACTTCTCTCTGATTTTTGCCGAGCAAAACAGCATTGGCAGAGAATGAGACCATCCAGGCTGGTTCCAGCTCCTTTTCCTGACTCCATGGAGCAAAATTAAAACCAATTCTTTACAGGCTGTACATCCAGGCATTGGGTTAATGAAGCTCATTCAAACACATCCTCACTTGCCCCAGCCTCTTGCCCCACCGTCCTCATTCTGTTGTGCCAGTGCAGCATTCACACATATAATAAACTGGATCTGGTGGCTGATCGCTTGGGGCTACTCAAACAAGCATTGTCACCAAAAACATGTATGTCAGCCTGCAGGCACTGGCATAACCCTGATTTTAGGAGCAGTGTCTGCCCTTCTCAAACAGAAGACTCAATCTCTTTGATATGAACAGCATAAGATGGTGAACTTTTATTTAATGAACAGTGTAGCTGACTAAAGTTAAAATTATCCTTAAAAGAATCTTAAATGTTACAAATCCTAAAGATAAAACCACTGGGAAGATATGTACATGATTTTTTTCTCTTTAGAGGTCACATTTTCTTTCCTCTGCATTAGATTCCTGATTATATAATCCCTATGCACAACTTCTTTTTCAGGAACCGATGAAAAGAAAATTATTGAAGTCTTATCAAGTCGAACATCGGAGCAGAGACAACAAATAAAGCAGAAGTACAAGGCTTTATATAACAAGGTATTTTGAAATAAGTGTCTTCTCTGAAACCACTGCCTCTGGAAATACAGCCCATAGGCCTCTGCTTTTGAAAATATCAAGGGCATAGTGGATTTAAGGAGGACACCAGTTACTTTCTGATTCAGCAATTAATTTTATCATCTAAAATACCAATTATATTTCTAATTTTAAACCTCAGAGTCTCTTGAAGTCGGCCTTAACCAGATCACAGCATTTTAATCAAAGCTGGGAGAGCTAGAAAATAATTCATCACTGAAATAGAAAATATTTCAGCTTGTGTTCATCTTCAGCACATCCAGAAAAATAAGTTAATGTAAAAGAGAAATTTTAAATCAGAGTCCCACTTAGATCAGATGAAAATTCAGAGAAACTATTTGATCTTGCACAACTATATTTTTATTGAGTTTAATAGAAGTAATTATCGATTTCTTCCAGTGAAGTAGAATATGTTCAAAAGTTAAGAAGTTTCCCTGAGCACTTGATTTCTGCAGAAGGAGGCATAAACTGCCATAATAATTTTGTGTGTAAGAAAAATAAAGCTTCTAAAATATTACTTCAGTAAACAGCTAAATCCTGCAGACCTTATTATTAAAGTGGTATTTTCTTAGTGTCTGCTTGCTCATTAATCAGTGTCAACAAGACAGTCAGCACTGAAGATGAATGAAAGCTTTGTACATGTAAAATTTACAGCAAGCATGATGCAGATTTTGATTATAAAAATACCATAGATTTTGTTCTATAATGAGAGTTAATAAAAATAGGCATTAGAAATTATCAAATGCCATGAGACATCAAAGTGACATCAGCTTTTAGCAACCCTTGTTGCTTTCCTGGGCAGCCTGATCTCTTGGGAAGGAGGCACAAGTGGTACCATCTCACTCTCCTGCTGCTCCAGGAACTGGCAGCATTTATGGTGAATGTGTTGAAACTGCTCCAGCACAGATGGCAGCCTCTGACTTGAGTAGCTGAGTGTTCACGTGCAGTTGTGTAAGCAGGAACTTGAGAATAATGGACTTAGAGCTGGACTTCCCATTCAGCATTCTGAACTTGTCAAGTGCTTCCCACAGTGCAGGAAATGTTAACTGCAGATAAGACTTCAAATACATCCTCAGCTGGCATCCTCAGCATGCACTAGCCAGCTCTTCTCTAGGATCTTACTAAATTTTGATTTAAGGTTGACGTGGGTGTGTATGTGTAAAAATGCTGTTTGCTTGGCACAAAAGCACCTTGCAGAAATCTGCTGCTTTTTCCAGAAAGTCGGTTTTAACCAAAACTGACAGAGAAGGTTCTTAGTTTGATCCCTTGTGTGGCAGCTCTTTTGAAGGAGGAAGCTTCTGCATTTTGTTTCAGAGTAAACTCCTGTTAAGCTTTTCAAAACACTAGTCTGCATTTGTTTACACAACAAAGAATCATAACCGGACTGATATTGGCTGGTGTTTGAAGATGGGAGAATCATATCAGTCAATATGAAAATTTTTAGGGAACTTATTTTGAAAAAAAAAAAAGTATGTATTTTAAGGCCTTTTTAAAAATGTTTTGTCACTTTTTGGTACAGAATGAGCAGAATGAGCTTTTAAATCATTACACTTCCTGAAACAAATTAAGAACTCCTCTAATCTCACCTGAGTTTTTGTCCTCCTGACTGTCCCCACAGGAGATGGAAGAGGACCTGAAGGGAGACCTGAGTGGGAATTTTGAAAAGGCTGTGCTGGCTTTGCTGGACTTGCCCTGCGAGTACGAGGCCCGAGAGCTGCGGAAGGCGATGAAGGGAGCTGGGACAGACGAGTCGCTGCTCATTGAGATTCTCTGCACACGAAACAATAAGGTTGGGGCACCGTGTGTCACCTTCCTTGGGCAGCAGGGCAAAGAGCTCACCAAGAGGGTCCCTGGGAGGAGAAAGAGGGATCAGTCCAGCTTCTGTGGCTGAAATGCCTCTTGCCAGTGTTTGCAGCATTAAGATTGCCATACTAGAGCTGAATCTCCATCAGGAGTTAAATAAAATTCACATTCCTTCCTTTATCCTACTCCTACCTGCCTTGGATGGTGTGGAGGCAGCACTGGTGAAGAATCCCCAGATATCTGTCAAAGGGCAGCTTTGGCACTGCTCTGATGGTTCAGAGGTACAGGAACATGATCCTAGTGAAAAAAAAAAAAAAAGTTAGCTCTTGCCTAAATGCAGGGAAAACCAGAGGGACACCTGCATGAATCAGGCACCCCTCAAAGTGCTGTCCTCAGCGGGGACTGGGAATTCGTGGCTTCTGCAACCCCCATGGTTGCTGCACCTGACATACTACAGGCATGGTGCTGACTTGCTGGTGTCTTGTTTGCTCATTTATTTATTCATTAATAATATTTTATTTATTTATTACTTTATTTATTTATTACTTTATTTTTTTTTGTTTTCCTAGGAAATTATAAACATAAAGCAGGCCTACAAACATTGTAAGTAGTTTTATCTTTCAAACATCTTCATTTAAATCCTTTTTCACTGCTTGAACTCTTACGGATTTTTTTTCTTCCCAGTGTTTGATAGGGATCTAGAGTCTGATGTTAAAAGTGACACCAGTGGCTCCCTACAGAAGATATTAGTCATGGTGCTAGAGGTAAGGCTGGAGACTTTCCTCTTATGCAGCTGCCTGACAGATATATTTCCTTCTTTCCCTGAGTAATCATAATAAGTATTGGCTGGTATTTATAATAATGGAGTTATAATAATAATAATATACATATGTATACATATGTATAATAATGAAGTAATTACAGTAAACAAAAGACATTCTTCAGTATGAGAGCCTTTCACATCTGTGACTTTTTAATATGTACAATTTTTGTTTATGAAGCCACAGATAATTTTGTACGTGTTGATACTTTGAAAATAAAAGGATTGTTTTACTGTAATTTATACCATGGTAAAGGCTGGAATACTCATTCGAAGTCATGGCCCCATTATTCTGAATTTTGCCCCAAACCACTAAATCTTATTTCCATCTCAGCTAAAGATTTTAGAATTCAGATACAGAACAACTAAGAAAGAGATTGCTGTTATGTTAGTTTTTCATCCATCAAAAAAAGCATCTTTTCCATTAGAACACATTTTGTTTTAAACCCCTTTTATGAAATAGAGCAAAAAAATCAATACTTTCATAAAAAACATTATAACTAAGAAAAATAGGACCACACTGAGAAATGTAATGTAGTGGTCAGTCTGACCTGACAGCCCGGGGAAATGAAAAGACTGAATAAATAAAAGAATCTTTAATGACATAACAGTCCCATCACTACATACATCACAGTTTAGATTCTCGTTCTGGGAAGCATCCATCCATACAGCTCTTTCCAATTTCTTGTGTAATTTCAGGAGTGGCAAATACATTTATTCCTTTTTTTTGTTTTTCCATCGATCAGTCCTTCATAATTTCTCCCAGGGATGACAGTGTTGGTGAATGCTCAGAGTACATAGGTTAGTCATTTCACAGTTACCAGGCCATATCCAACACTGTGAAAAACATCAGCACTTCATGCAGGTACTGAGCACCTCCCTGCTCCAGAGGCATCAGCGTTGCAATCTCCTTAGAGCCCCAGCACAGAGCACATGGAGCTGGGGATAAACCTGCCCAAAGGGCTCACGTCTGAAGGCAGCCAGCCCAGGAGCCACCGTGCCCATCCCTCGTGTCAGCAGATGGCAGCAAAACTCCAACCAAAATATCAAAACTCCAACCAAAATATCTGTGAGGGCCACCAGCTGGAACCTAACCAGCACTTGGTCCGGTGTTTTTTATGGTTATCTCCTTTTCTGCAGGCAACCCGAGATGAGACCCAACAGGTCAATGCAGAGCTTGCTGAGCAAGATGCCTCAGATCTGTACAAAGTGAGTGCAATTGTGCAAGAATCCCTTTCTTTCCTGTGCTGTGCAGCAAGGGCTGCCTTAGGGGACTAAACAAACCAAGCACAGGGGCAATGGCAGCACAAGGAGAGGAGCAAGGGGGGCACGGGCTGGAGATTGGTGGATCAAGGGCTCTGGCTCTGACCTCATGTCTCTACTGTGTATAAACAAGTGCTTCCAAAAAATAACATGTGATTCTGAAGGCAGGAGAAGGTCGCTGGGGAACAGAGGAGCTGGCTTTCAATGTGGTCCTAGCAAAGAGAAGCTATAGCCAGCTGAGAGCTACTTTTCAAGCCTATGAAAAGGTGAGTTTATCTTCTGCAATGTGGGGTTGCATGGGCCCTGACATAAAGGTGCAAACTCTACAAGGACATGTAATGATCTGAAGAGCCTTTTCCAACCTAAATGATTCTATGTAAAGTGGACAATCCTGTATCTGCCATTTTATAACTTCTTGAGTGTTTATACAACTGTATCCTGAGCATACAGAAACAGGTGATTTACAAGAGAAGCTGTATCTTCTGCCAGTGAACAACCCATTCCCCTTCATAACCTACACAATATTCAGCCAAATAGGTGCAGCTGTGGGAAGGAACAGACATTGTGACAAGGCAGTGTACCACCCTCCTTCCTGCAGCAAAGGGACAGGTTCACAAACTCCTGTCCTGAAGGAAGGATTTTCTTTTCTAGTCTTTTCTTCTCCTTCCCCTAAACAGAGCTTGGCAAGGTGTCTCCTTCTGTTCCCCCACCAGGGAGGAGAAGTTTATCTCCAGACTTTTCCTCTCTGCCCACACTGGGCAGATGGCCGGTGCAGGTGTTTTGCTGTGCTTTCCCCTGTCTCCAAACATAAGGCAAAGTAGGCATCAGGATCCTGGCTGTTTAGTGCTTCTCCCTGTGTCACCCAGCAGGGACATTTTACTCATGCCTGGGCCCGAACCTGAGCTGATATGGAGATATCTTGCTTGGAAATTACCTCTGAAAGTCAAAGCAATGGGAGATCCAAGGTCCTTCTCCTAGCAGCAAGGTGGAAGTTCAGCAGTGACATTCTCAGGAAAGAATCTCCCTCCAGCCTCTGGCTCACAGTCCTGAACTTCCCTGGGAAGACTCTGAGTTCATCAAAAAACTGTAGCCTTAGGCACTGAAGATGAAAAGAGCTCAAGTCAAAGCCATATTTCAGTGTCAGCATAATAAGGGACCAATAGCTACAAAAACGTTTGCAGCTTAATCCAAGTTTTGGGTTGTTGCTGGCAGGAGAACAAACCCAGTCACAAACTGATCCTCTTTCCCTTGGAGTGGCCCAAACCCTGGGGGTTCAGTTAAATGCTCCAATAGCCAAGCTACCTTCGCTTTTGATTCCTAAAGCCAGGCAGATCAGGTTGCCCAAACTAACCCACCACATCCTGCCTGGCTGCACTCGAAGTAGGCCAAGATTAGAGCCCAGATCTTGCAAACATGCCCTTCTCTTTAGCTGGAGAGATACATAGGGAAAGATTTAAACCACGTTGGTGCTTTGCAGAACTTAAGCCTTAAAACCTCACATGGTACCTTTGCTGCCTTGTACACACAGACTCCCAGCTCTGACCTAAAAGTCAGAATCTTGAATCATGCAGGGACATCCTGATACGCAAAGCAGAGCAAAGTAAAAGTCTTTGACGTTCCTGAAGTTCACAAAAGTCAGGATAAACTCTGTTTTGAAGAGACTGCTTCTCCAACTCCCTACAGAATAATACAAAAACTTTGGGACAACCGCAGTGCTTGTAAACTTTGCCTGGGAAGCCAAAGACAATAAGTAACAGAACTTCATAGAGTTGGTAAAGCTCCAAAAATTATCTTATTTATGTGGGAGCCATCCAGGGCCTTTGATGGAGGGGCTAGAGAAAGCTTGAACAGTTTCTGCTGACCAGGGGTCACTCAAGAAGAAGCTGCAGCTTCTTTGTCCCAGAAGCTGTCAGATACCTGGGACTGCTTGACTATCCAAATTATTGATTGTAGATTATCCATCACTTAACCATTGTGCCTTATCTGGCTGCACAGACCTTCTCTCAGCCAGTGGATCAGTGAGCATTTACACCAGAGAACTTCAAACTCAAACTACTCCTTTGGAAAGACTCTAAAGGATCTGGATTGACCTTTTGCCATTGGATCCCAAATCTGATGCTGGTTTGGATAGTGGGAAGACATGTATAGACAGAAGCTCTTACAGCTCCTTTTTGTTCTCATAGATGTGTGGGAAGGACATAGAAGAGTCCATTAAAAGTGAAACATCTGGAGATCTGGAGAAGACTTATCTGACTCTAGGTAAAAAGCAATAGTTTCAAGACCTTTCTTTTCTAGTTCTTGCTATCACCTGACATTGAGGGTCTGTGTAAAGCCTGGCAACAGCCATTGAGTTCATTGAGTTACCCCTAAACTGAGCTAACATGTCTGCCAGTGAAAAGAGAGACAGTTTTCAGTAGTGATTAGAACTCTTTGGTTTCAAAAATGAGACTTGCCAGATGCAGTTCCTTTCCCCACAGCTGAATTATTTGCCCTCTAACACAGGATAGCCACATCCAAGCTGCCCCTGGGACCATGGCTGATGATAACTTCCAGCAGATGCTTGGGCACCATGAGAAGTGTGCTAGCCAGCCACCACAAAAATGTACAGCAACTCGACAGCAATTTAGCACTAGGGTTGGCTTTGACTGGTATTTAAACCTGTGCCCTGTGTCCTGTTAGTTCACTGGTATTGCTGTTACCCATCTGGACACAGGCTGTCCTGATCTTTCTCCTGTGATCTGCAGAGTGAGCAGTTACCCCAAGAATGGATGGGCAAGAGGAACCCATAGGAGTGAATGCTCATTCTCATTCATGTCATTTTCACTGTGGAATGGCAGAGTATTCAGTGCTGGAACTCTCTTGTGGAAAAATGGACATCCCCATTCAGACTCCAAGATTTCTCCTTGCATACTGACAGGGGACCAGTCTCAGAAAAAAAGCCCTGCCAGCTCATATGTCTAAGCATAAACACTAGAGTTTCCTTTTCTTTCTTATTTATTTAATTCTGCTTGAAGTTTCATCACAAACTGTAAATGTGCAAGTATAACAAGGCCTCTTACTCTTTTCTTTAGTCAGCTGTGCCAAAGACTGCCCAGGTTACTTTGCCACACTTTTGCACGAGTCGATGAAAGGAGCTGGGACTGATGAAGAAACCTTGATTCGCATCCTTGTGACCAGGGCTGAGGTAGGGTACCCTGCGTCCTGTAATGCCTCACATCAGCTCTGGGAGAAATACAAATGTAGAGGGTATGGAGTGACTCCTGATAGATCATGTGCTCAGCAAACCCTTTTCAGTCCAGTGACATCAGTGGTCACACTCTGCTTCTGTACCCAGCCACCTCTAATTTTGATATTGCATCTATTTCTGTTTTCAAAGGAACTAGACCAGGAAACATGTAGGCAATTTCAAGTGGAGTCAACTGTACCTGGTTAAAAGCAACCCATGGGGAGGCCTGGCCCCAGTAGGATGTGTAAAAGTAATTCCTAGTTAATTAATGATAAAGAAGCAGCTCCCAATTTGAGAACTGCTTATAAACATATGTTGCCAATTTTCTCTGATTCCAGCTGGGAAAAACAGATGGGGAGGATGGAAGAAAAATAAAAAGCCAAAGGAGTTAACTGCCATTTTAAGAAGCACAAAACTTTCCAAGACATTTGAGATATTTAAGCACAATCTTTAAGTATTCCTGTGTAGGTGGTAACCCCAGGGCTGTTTCAGTCAATACAGAGGAGGAGCCTTTCACAGGCATGAGGAAAGCATATTTCTCAATGATCCACAGTGAGAAAAATTAGTCTCCAGGGTATTCTCTCTATTAAGACACAGTCCAGTCATTATAACATTTAAAACCCACAGTGATAAAGATCACACCTGTGCTGTAGGTGCCTTTTTACAGGAAAGCTCAAGAGAAGGAGTTTGTTTCTCCCTACCCAGTAACCAGAAAATTACTTCCATGGGTGGAACAAAACTCTTTTAACAATACTCCTGGGACATACCTCTTTCCCTGTTTGCCACAAAGGGATGACCTCAGGAGTTCACAGAAGCCTGTGTGAGTTTTTCCAGTACCAAGGCTGTGCTGGCACAGCACCACTGGGCAGAGATTCTCCCAGCCATCTGGCATAGCTTTCCATGCAGGTCCTCTTCACAGTTAGCATCCGCTCATCATCTTCTGACATGAGCTTACCTCGAATTCAAATGTTAACCTGAAAGTCTTCCAAGATTTTTAGACCTCCTGCATTCTCCTCTCCTACTCCCACTGGGTGTGGTGGGCCTTGAATCAGACCCTAGGGATGCTGGCAGGAGCAGGGCATGTTACTCACAGCATTCACCACTCTTCTAAAGAGGCTCTTGGTGTCTCCTCAGAGCGACCTGCCAGCAATAAAGGAGAAGTTCCAGCAAATGTACAAGAAGTCGTTAGCTGAAGCTGTCCGATCTGACACCTCTGGGGACTTCAGAAAGTTGCTGCTGGCAATTTTGCACTAAAAGCCCATCAAGAATGAAGAGGCATGCTGAGCAGCCATCTCTTGATTAGTTTCCAAAAAAGCATCCAAAAAATGTGGCATTAGCACAAAGAAAAAAATCCAATTTATTTTCTTTCCAGCTGGGAAATATGTTGCCAAGTAATTTTGGACATGAGGTTTATGTTATGTCTATCTTGCCAAATGCCCTTAAGCAATAAAGACATGTTGAAAAAAAATAGATATAAATTGACCTCTTTGTGTTTGCATATGTGGAGGAATCTTCTGTCATTGTTTCTTCTGGGCAGATTTTCTGTCTTTCTCTCATTCTGAAGATTATCCCTGCTCTTTTCTACTCTTCTAAATTCAATGAATGTCATGTCATGCCGTTACAGTCCTGCCAAGAGAAAATGGATAGTAATTTCTTCTCAGCTCATTATCACAGCTCTTTAAACAACCTGAGGGCTGTGAATTATGATTTAAGTCAGGCCCTGATTAAAATCCTGCTGTCAACAGGGAAGGCCAGAGTGATTTCCCTATCTGTGAGTTGCCCTCTCAGCAGTCACCTCCTAAATTATCCCATGAAGGAGATAAGGACTTGTAGTCCCCACCAGCACCACCTCCTGGGATATGGTGCAGAAGCATCACAGGGCAAGAGGAGAGTCTTTTGTGAGGTAGATGTCAAGCAGGAAATGCTGTTTCCAAAGAGGAAGACATGGGCCTCAGGACAGCTGCATGGTCTTCATCCTGGGATATTTCTAAGATCTGACTGAATAAAACTTTGAGCAACCTGGCCTGATCTCATCTCATCCTGCTTTGGTAGGAACTTGAATTAGAGACCACTGGAGGTCCCTTCCTCCCTGAACTACCCTAAGATCTTATAATCATATGAGAGAAGATGTAGATGAAAAATAATATAACAGAACCTGACGACTAAGAAGAAGAGAGGAGAGGGAAGAATTGAGGTCAAGGAGATGGGTTCATGAGTATTTCTCTTTGTCTGGGCTCTTCTGCCTCTTAAGTGCACCACCTCTGCATGATGAAGGGTCTTTCAGGCCCTCTGAGGTATGATGACTGATGGCATCGTATTCCCATTGAAAACAGTATTTCTGAAGCACTGGACCTGCTTCTCCCCTCTTGGATCAATGTCACAGCAGTGGCATCTGGCCATCTAGTTATAAGATGGGGCAGTATAAATGAGAGATAGAAAGATGTGTGGCTTTTAAGAATAATGATTGGTGTTTCACACAGGTGTAATAGAATGTTATGGCATTTTAAAGGCCTGATCCTTCTTTAGGAACATTTCTAGCTACCTAAAAATATCAGGGGCAGATCCTGAATACCTTAATGCATTTATCACAGGCATTTGACTGTTCAGACCCAGCAAGAGCAGAGCAATGTGGGATCTAAGGATCTTACTGTTGCTGTTGCTATGAGTCTGTTGTAACCAGAGACTACAGAAAGGATAGATGAAGAATCTACTTTGGTGTCCAGTGATAGGGTGATATTTTATCCTCCAGCACACTGTATGCTCAGACCAAGATAAGCTGGC